CCAGCCAGCCATGCTGGCTGGGGAATTCTGGGAGTTGAAGTCCACACAGCGTGAAGTTGGCCAGCTTGAGAAACACTGGTTTAATGCACCACCCAGCCTTAAGTTGGGTAGCCCTGACTGAGGCCTCCATTCAGACCATATTGCTAATCAGTTGGTTCTCCAGGGTTGGTGGTAATATTTTCCGGCCAATGACTGCTCAACGTCCAGTTACTGACATGATGGATATACCCCCCGCCCCCCCAATCCATGACCTCAAAAAAGGGGCTGGCTGTCCTTTCCCAATTCCCCCATGCCTCTGGTTACACTGCCCCTTGACCTTATTTCTCATCAAAAGGGAATGAAACAGTACACACAGACACCCCATGGTCAAAGTCGATTGGCTTAAGCAAGAAGAAGTAGTTTTTGACAAAAAGCAAGAGTTGACATCAGACCGTTTAAATTCTGAGGACAAGGTAAGGCCAGTGTTGTCTGGTTTAGGAAGACCCTAAGGGCTGCTGGAGGGGCCTGATGCTGCCATAAACTACAAGTGAAGAATGTCATTTGCAAAAGGTAATTCCAGTTAAGCATTACCCGGGAAGGATACAAATGGAGTATAATGCAATATCCCTACCCTTTAAAAATCTGTGAATCAGGAAAGCCAAAAGCATGGGTGGAGAAGAAAATAGTAGGGAAGCACCCAACATCCCTGTGAAGAAGTGGAACTGTGTCTTGTACAAGCAGGGCATTGGAGAATCTGAATGTTTGTAATGTTCCTACAAGCAGTTTAGTTAGGGATTTGAAGAGCTTTCTAGCTGCAAGGCACCAAAGTTGTTGTTGTTGTTGTTGTTATAAGAAGAAAATCCAATTTTATATTTTCTATTCAGGTGCGTTGCAAGATGTAGGATGTGCTTGGTTTCATTTCATTTTTATAGAAGGACTGGGAAGATTCAGTTCCTGGCATCAGGGCAAGATGCAGAGCAGAAGAGTGGCCTGCAGAAGGCTTCTCTTTGAGAAATGATGAGAGCCAGCGTGGGTAGCACTGGGCACAATGATTCAATGGGTTTGAGTTACTCTGAGATCATTTTGACTTCCCATATAAAGCTAGCTCAAGTAACTTTTTGTTTGTGTCTTTTTGTGATATCCAATTAAAAGCAGCTGCCCTAGTCCTACCTAGAAACATGAGTGTGGATTTTTGCAGCTCAAGAATGAGTTATGCTCAGTTCCACCTTCATTTCTCAACAGACATGTGTGCAGCTTTTGTGAGTCCTCCCACATTTCAGGTGAATTGTCTGATTTTAAGCTTGTCTAAAAAGTAAAAGGGTCAAGGCCAATAGAGTTGAAAATCTGGTTTCTATTGGGGTGGGGGGGAAACCCAAAGGTTTTTCTCCTGAACTTATTCTGAGCAGAAATTTGCACAGATGTTCCAAATATGTCAAGTGGCTCTACTCATTTCTCATCACTAAAATGACGTAATTTGCATATATTTGTAAGGATGAGGAGTTAAACAAATTCCTAGGGGAACTTGGACCACTAACATGTCAAATTCCATTTGTTGATGCACCATCAAGATTGTAGGATGAATCCAAGGGTTCTTACTGCAGTATATAAAAATCAGCAATACATTCTAAATGGGATTGTTCTCAAAAGTGACGTGTAAGGTGGCAAAGCTTCGTCTCAATACAACTCTTAGCATGTTACAAAGTTCTCAATACAACTCTTAGCATGTTCAGTGGTAAAGAAAGAAGAATCATAATTACCCTGATTCTGAAGGACCTCTGGTTGCTTATTTATAGTGATTTAAAGATTTACATCTTTAAATAGTGAAGGATCAAATATCAGCAAGAGTAACTCTTCCTATTCCAGTCTTCCTATATTTATGAGATTTTGGAGAGTATCTTATAATCTTTTCCAAGTACAGTGGTACCTCTAGTTACGAACTTAATCCGTTCCGTGACTCTGGTTGCAACTCGAGTTGGTCTCAAGTCGAGGTAAAGTTTCCCATAAGGTTCAATGTAAATACGGCTAATCCGCCCTCCGAATTTGGTCGCACCCCGAGGTAAATTTCCCCCATAAGGTTCAATGTAAATACGGCTAATCCGCCCTCCGAATTTGGTCGCACCCCGAGGTAAATTTCCCCCATAAGGTTCAATGTAAATACGGCTAATCCGCCCTCCGAATTTGGTCGCACCCCGAGGTAAATTTCCCCCATAAGGTTCAATGTAAATACGGCTAATCCGCCCTCCGAATTTGGTCGCACCCCGAGGTAAATTTCCCCCATAAGGTTCAATGTAAATACAGCTAAACAGTTCTGAAACACATGCATTTTATTTTTAAACCTCAAAAACATGAAAAAAAAGTACAGTACAGCACAGTATGTAGAGGGAGAATGGGGTGGGGAGGCAATTATTGTTTGGAGGGAGAGTCCCCCTCCAAAGGGACATCGGGGAGATCTCCTTCAGGGGGTTCCTCTCTTCTTTGCCTCTTAGATGCAGGCT